GGCGGCAATATACTGTGAAGAGCCTGTGCTCACACACTCGTATAAGCTGCTCGTCCACTGCTGTATCTAGCAGGCGGAAGTATTCGCCATACGGAAGGCTGCGGAGGAGGTCCTGCAACTGCAGAACACGAAATAATGCATCAACTTCTTCTTGGACAGCCAAGCACCATACAAATCGATACAGATGCCCACCATCTGCTCCAAAACAGTCTTAGCAAACAGGGAAGCCGTAGATAGACCCTGTGCCAGTAAAAAGGTCACATAGAAGGCAATGATATGGCAGACACTCTTGCAAAGCAAGGAATAAATCTAGCCAAGACAGATATAAACCACCTACAGATGCCACCAAGAGAGCTCCACAGCAAATGGGAGCATAAGGCATGGACTGAGGCGGGAGAACAGACGGACAACACAAAACAACTGCAGAACAGCGCGCACGATGTGCAAGGTTAGAGATCATGAACTGCTCGCGTGCCTGGCGGACCTGCGGCTGCTGCCGTTGTTTGGCTGTCGCCAAGTGGTACCCCTTCAGCTCGATCAGCACCGCTCATAGCCCTGCTGAGCTGCCATCTGCTACGCTACTGCCTACTGCGTTGTCCACCGGAGTGGTCGCGAACTGAGCCTCCCATTCGGTTAGTATCCGTTTGCGTTCGCCTATTTTTTTGCTTACTTCTTCAGCTGTTTTGGCGTGTCGCTGACTCTTCTTTTTCCCCTTCCCGCAGTCTGCTGGTGTTGGTGTTGCCATTTCTGCTGTCTTTTCCGCAGACGGTAGCTGCTCCTCGCTTACCAGCCCCTGGTTCCTTCGCACCATCTGCACGACAAATTGTATTTGCTTGTTCTCTGTTAGTCGCCAACTGGATTTCTGGTAGGTGTTCGTCCCATGCAGTGTGCTGGCCATCCTCTAGTTGTGCAATGCAATGCGCTAGTGTGGGTTCTCTTGCGGCGTGTATGGTGTATGGCTGTCAGCCAGAATTCGTTCTCGCAGCGTCCATTTTACTGCTGCAGCTGTGGCGGTACCGATTCAGACCAGTTCTTACGTACGAGCACCATGATTGCGCTATACGCGCTATTGGACAGCTCTATGCAGCCCTTTGCCAGTAATTTTTCATTCTCGTGGTCAATCACCGCTTGCATCGCAGGATTTCTCGGATAGTGGCACTGTTTGATGGGCATGTCGCCTTTAACACGGATCATGTGTGTTGCCACTGATGACACACCGACAGTACTTTCAAAGGGCGGCAACTCCTCCTGAAGAAACATGGCACTCTGGAAGCCTGCTTCTTTGTCAGCATGGCTGCCGACTGAGCCCCAGCCGAACCCTTCGGCGCCCCTGACGCCTTCTCCGCCGTTGTCACCCACGCGCATGTCGAAACTCTACCTTGTGGCCGCCGATGGCGAGCGTACCTTGGACCTGGCTGATGTAATCCAGACCTAGTGAAGCGCTCGTACTTGCAGCCCATGGCTCTCGCAGGTGTCGTGCCAAGGCTGGGCTTGCAAAGCTTTGAGTGGCCCCGGTATCTACCAAAGCGTCGAGGGATAGACTACAGCAGTCCACCATCAACACCATCGCTAGCGTGCGTTCTGCCGCTAGTTTTCCTGCGCGGACTCGCCCATCGGCTGCATGTGGCGAGCAACTGCGCCTGCGAAGGAACAAAGATTTGCCTGTTTGACTCACCACCAAATATGGGTTGCGTGTCTGCTGGCCCTGGATGTCGGATCGTAGGCCCCGTTGGAGCCCTGAGCGCTGGCAGGTGTGGCCTTTCCCTTATGGTACAATCCGGAACCTAGCCCAACCCCTCAGTTCTGCTGCTTGCCGTTTGAATTCTGCAACAGTATGGACATCCTGATGTTGATCGCTGGTCGGCTGTTGCTATAGATGCGCCTCAGCTGATCCTCCCCACGCATGTCTGCAACGAGCATCACCTCCAGTATCGCCTTCACATAGGACGCAGTGGACTCCGCCTCGCCTTGGAAGCGTCGTCGCGCCAAGTCGACTTTCACCTTGTGCGGTCCACGTCAGTGGTGCAACCTGCAGGATATTGGTACCAAGTTATCTACGGGCTCTCCACTCACTACTGGTCTGTCTTCTAGCCTGTGCCGACGAAATGTACTCCCCATTGTGCCACCTCCGTGGTCATGGCTTTCCACTCCACTCGCAACATTGTCGACCGGGCCGCTGAATCCATTACTGGTGCGGTCGGCACTGCTGACCCGGTCGTCGTAGCCACCGCCGTGGCTCGTTGTTACGCCTGGAACCGATGGCGTGTCTCCAGTGTGGGTGGTGGCAACGGCTATGGGCACTGGCGCAGCTCCGGTTGGTGCTTTTGTACCTAACGCCCGCGTTCACGGTGCGATGGGAGCTTCCGTGGCCGAGGCCACCGTTTGAGTTGGCGTTTACCGCCGAGGGGCTGGCTGCGCCACTGCCACGACAGGTACTGAAGCCGCTGGTTGTAGTGCCATCGGTGCGACTGCGTGCTCCGGCGTCGCTGCATAGGAATCAGTGCTGGCTTCAGATCTACCGAATTTTCCTGCTCCTCCTCCCGTTTGTGAACTGCCATGTGTACTCTTGGCTGCGTGCACAGCTTGGTCATATACACATATATGGCTTTAACTTCCTGTTAAATCGGTCTCTCATAATGAGACACACGGACTCATAATATTTTCCAAACTTCGAAGAAAAATTCCAAGAAATACAGGAGTTATGATCATCACAGATTTTTGGGAAAGGAGGGGGGGGGGGAGGGGGAGAGACAAATATTTTCTGCGTATTCATATAAGGCATCTAGGACTAAAATTTGGTGTCCCTAGGTCATACAGTCTCGGAGAAACAGGCGCGGTTACGAGCGGAAAATCCCTCATAGGGGGAAAGTGGGGGGGAAATTAAAAACATCAGACAAACTTGCACAGCGTACACACATAAGGTATCTTTGTGCAATATAGCATATACTTAACGAGCTGGCAGGAATCCCTCAATGTTTGTTCCTGAGTCGCCGCAACCATCAAGGCTGAAGACTAATTACGATTTCAAAGTTATCGTAAAATTTAATAACTGTCCAACCTAGGTCAGATCTTAAATAAAAATTAAAAGTGAATAAAAAACCTTAATTGGGAATTTATACAAACGAATTTATGGAATGCGTGCATTATCAAAACTAACTGTAATTAACATGAGTGTATACATATCGTTGTATCGGCTAATTAGCGGCCGCGGTTTTCTGGCAACGCCGGCATACATTGCGGTACCGGTAAGTGACAGTGCCAGCCGTTGCGGCAGCAGGCCATGGTTGCTGGAAATGGGCAGCAGGAGAAGGATGGGAATAAACGGATGCGAAAAGGGTTTTTTAAAGTGTCACGCGGTACGCGAAATGGCGGCGGCATTGTTACTGGCGAATCGGACGAGCAAGGACAGAGCACGGTCGCAGGCCTTGAATGAATATATTTGAATATACATACATATAACTTGAAAATAGGTAAGGGAAAAAAGTTAGAAAACCTGTGGATTGTTTCGGCCTGACACATTACCTTCTTTGGCGGCGCATTTTAAGGCTGCACAGGACTCCCGACATCACCATCATCGTCAACGGCAGCCTGTAGTAGCGGCCTATTCAGCGCCATCCCACCGACCGGCAGATTCAGCCGTAGCATGGTCAGCGAAGGCGGAGGCGGAGGATAAAAAAAAGGAGTGCAAACTGAGAGAGTCCGTTCCGGTACAAGTCCCCGACGCTAGCGACGCCAACGCTGCGCCGCCTCAGCAGCTGAGTCCTCACCTCTTCGTGGCCAGCTTCCCGAGGAAACTAGAGACGGCAGTGTAGGGACTCACATGGGTCGTTTGCCAATTGTTGTGCCGATAGCGAATTGTTGTCTCGGTATAGATCAGATAAAAAAAGAAAATATTAAATAAATGAAAATGAGTGTGGATCAGATTTCCTTAGAACTGATGTATGTATAGACGCAAATTCGATGTGGACTAGTAGGGTTGATTGAGAAACAAAGCGAGAAGGTTGTCATTATTTGGCCGTAATTAGGTAATACCGAGGAGTGCCCCTGACCCCATAAGAGCTCTTAGGAGGGAAGGCGATTTGCGCCCGTAGCTATATATATATATATATATATATATATATATATATATAAACATAGTTTTTATACACTGTTATGTGCGACGCGGCAGTATTGGGAAACCGCAAATGGCGTCGGACGAAGGGGATGGCAACTCGCGCGGGCCGATACCAAGTACTCGTGCGTGAGGTGCGAGGACCAGTGCTACCAATTAGGAGGGTTGCAAAGTGGGGAAATTCCTGGTGAATGGCAAGTCATGACCTCAGGAAAGGGCAAATAAATTGTGGCCAGTGAGTGAGACGAACATGAAGTTACGAACAAAAAACAAAATAAGGGGACTAGAAGATTTATAAAACACCGGAGTGATGACAGGAGGGTTGGGAAATACACCAGCGGGGGTTCATAGGAGGAGGTAAGGATCTTAGAAAGGCCAGTGTGCCGATAACTAATTCCTTACCATGTATAATAGGAGTAGCAGTAACTGCGGACGGTCCGGAAAGTGTGCTGTGCGCGGGTCGACACCGAACGTCGAAAAAGTTTATACTAGCGGCAGAAGACAGCGCCAGCACCGACCGGCAACACTGGATCTAATGCAGGACCTCGGCCCTAGCTGAAGCCAGGCCAACTTTCATTTATCCTGAAGTCCGGGCTAAGTACCCCTCTCTCTTTTTTTTTTGTTTGAGGCACATATATAAACATTTGATTTAAACTCACACCACAAAATTTATATACACATATCAACACATACCTATATACACATATCAACACATACCCATATACACATATTAACACATACCTATATACACATATCAACACATACCCATATACACATATCAACACATACCTATATACACATATCAGCACATACCCTTATACTCATAAATATATTATATACACCGCACAAATACTTCAAACCTTGAATATCCTTGAAAATAAACAACCGATTTTCAAGTATGAGATATTTTTATTTAATTTGGTTCTGTACAATTGCAGAAATGTGTAAGGTGTATTGAGCGGTGCAGTTTTGTTATTGATATTGTTTGTTCTTTATTTAGTGTTTCAATGTAACTTTCCACAGCGATAGCTGCTGGCGGCCCCTGAGCCCTGGTAACCAGCAGAATAGGTGCAGCGAAGGAGCGAGTGTAGCAGGTCCGTGAGGGGTCTTGGTGCCCACTCATTGTTGCCCTACAGGGTGTTCCGAGGCTGAAAAGATCGAGAGTAATGTCTGTTAGGTGTTAAGTAAAGAATAGTCTAGTTGCCTTGTTTTTTTTTGGGTTAGTTACCTTTTTTTTTGTGGTTATTTGGTATTTCTTATGTATGGTTGCGTAGTAGGTCCATGTCCTGTCCCAAGCGGAAGGAGCATCGTTGCCCTACGTAGCAGAGCATGGGAGCAGCAATTCGCCATAGCCCAAGCAGGATTTGAGTTTTAGTAGGCACCTGGAAGAAATTGGGTGGTGTAAAGCGTGCGGTACATATATGTTTGTTTTGGTTGTTTACCTTCTGCAGTGACAGCGTGCCGTGGTGCAGCGTCATACTGAGGATCCCCATCTCACCCTTACATGTCTGGTTATTGAGTCTGTAATTGTGAGAATCTGTTTTTTATTGGTCTTATGGTCAGTTAGTGTATTAATTACCTTTTATTTATTTATTTGCGTAGCAGCAAATAAGTTATCAATAGGCAGGGAGTCCATTGTGAATGGTCTCGGTCTAGCACAGCTGTTCCTGGGCTGAACCATCGATATTAATAAGTATCGATAGGGTTTTTTTTTGGCACAGGTTAGCGGGTCTGTACATAGGGCGGGAATTTGAAGTTCAACTTATCGTTAGTTTTTTTTTTTGGGAGTAATATTTTCGCTTAGTATTATTTTTTTTTTTGTTCAGTTTTTTTTGGTGTGTATTTATTTATTCTTATTTATTTATTCTACTTATTTATCCCCATATTTTTGCGTGTGGCACTTATATATTTATTTAGTCTAAGTTTTTTTTAGTTTTGCCGGAGGCGTACAAGTATCGTATATCCACGATTTATTTATTTATTGGACGTTTTTGCGTGTGGAGTATATTTACGTTTTTTGCATTCACTTATTACCATTTTCTTTGTTATTTGTGGTTTTCCTTTTTGTATTTGCATATACTGGTATATTTAATTATTTTATGTAGGTAAGCTGGTGTTGCGGGTATATAGTGTGTATATAGCGGTGGGAGTATATTATCCTCGCTGCCCATTTAGAGACACATACGCGTACACAGGTTGGTTTATTTATTCGTTTATTGTTGGGTTTAGATGAATTTTTAGCATAAAGCCTTAGTACTAGCAGTGTTTTTTTTTTTGGTTGTGGGTTAAAAAAAGGTACATAGAAATGAATCTAGACCCGAATGTTACCCGGAAGGTCAGGCGGAGTCAGAAGTTTAGTAGGAACAGGCCATTGGTTCACTTGGACTCTCCTCCTCACGTAAGATTGAGTGAGGCGGACAAGCCAGCGGAAGCACTCGATGATGACGCATCGCCGCCGAGTGAAAGCGGGGCAGCGTTCCGAGGGTTTGGGGATGAGTTGCCGAACAATTCCGGAGCGGCAGCCGACGCGCGCGCTCGTCGTTCATGCGGGAGATTAATGAGGCAGTGGCAGCGCTGAGGCAGGAAAAGACACATAGTGCGCCTCCGTCTGTAGCACATGCGCCGGTGGGCAGGCCAGAGCGATCTCACGCGCAAATGCAGCGGTCAGCTATAGGCGGGTACGAGCAGGCAAAGAAGGAAAGAGAGTTTGTAAGCAGTAGACCAGTAGCTGCAGCACCGACTCACCTGTTCGTCGACAACCATATCTTAGAGGCAGAACAGCGGGCACATGTTGAGCAGCGGCAGTCCTCAGCCGATCCGTGGATGCGCGATTTGGGTCCTGACGTGCACAGGCCATTAAGGCGAACCACGATGGGCGATTCCCTGCCCGACGTCGTCCACATCAGGAAGTGGGGCCTTGTGTTTGATGGCGAAACAAAAGGAATGCCGGTGGCGGAGTTTATATTCAGGTTGGAGCATCAGGTGCCTTGTATCAGGTGCCCTGGGCCGACGTGTTGCGAGACTTCCACTGCCTGGTGAAAGGAAGAGCGACAGATTGGTATTGGATGTACATACGTACCTCGGGCGTGCCGGACTGCCCGAATCTCCGGTATGGGCTGCAGCAGCAATTCCAGACTCGAAGATCGGAGTTTGAACGAGAGCAGGAGCTGAGGGAGCAGATGCAGCGGCATGGCGAGAGCATTGAGGAGTATATTCAGGCGATGTTGGTGTTGCATTCTCGGTTGGTGTGTCCATTTTCGGATTATGACCTTATTAAGGTGATAAAGACAAACATTAAAGACACCGTGTCTAGGGTCATCTATCCGATGAATATCACGAACCTGCAGAAGCTGAGAGAGGAGTGCCAAGACGCCGAAAAGATGCTGGCAACGCATTGGCGCGGCCCTCAGCTAGTACCAACTACGGACAGCAGCGAGAGCAGCATCGAGTGCACGAGCTAGACGTGGTAGCAGAAAGTCCAGAAGGTAGCCAACTGGAGCATTTGGAGGCGGTATATAGGCCGCATGAAACTGGTGGGAGCCGCTCGACTCTCAAGTGTTGGAATTGTGCCCAACCAGGGCATACATATTTCGATTGCAAGTCCGCGGTGCGCAATATGTTTTGCTTCAAATGCGGACAACCAGGCATAGTGCTGCCGTTTGGACAGCACAATTATAACGTTTTGGAAAGGAAAATAATGACGCGTTGTTGCTAAACACGTTGAGTGAGGGGGGGAGATGAACTCACCGACCGGGCCAAAATAAGGAGTACGTAGCTCCATAGTGGGTAGCCACAAACCGTGTCGGCTACAGGATGGGCGGGAGCGCTTGGGCAGGAACACCGAAGTCCACAGAAACTGCCGGAGGGGTATTTTTTTGTTGCACGTCTTGTAATTTTGTAGTTGGTCCGTTTGTTTATATTGGTTATAGTGGTGGATGTTTTGCCGTAACCGAGTAATCGGTATTTGTTCGAGTCACGCGGGCATTGGGATGGACCAACAACCTGATTGAAGTCCGATGAGCCAGTCGGCGTTGCCCAAGTACAAAAGCGTGGTCGTAACAATATGGCGCCCAATCTAAGGATTTCGAAATGAATGCCAGGAGTGCCGAGGGCTGACCGTTGGGTAGTGCCTCGAGCAGGATGGGTTCCCTGATGTTTGCAAGCCCAGATTGTAGGTGGGAAATAGGCTCTGAACCAGATTTTGGATTGGGAGACTTATATGGAGTCACCGTACGCAGGCAAGCAAGCAATGAAGTTCGTAGTAGAACAAAAAATAAGCCGATACGAGGGCGCCGTCAAAACTGGTAAGTTTGTAAAGAGAAAATAATTATGTTAAAAATGGACAAGACAATTCTGAAGGGAGGGGATAGCGAATTGTTGTCTTGGTATAGATCAGATAAAAAAAAAAAATAATAAATAAATGAAAATGAGTGTGGATCAGATTTGCTTAGAACTGATGTATGTATAGACGCAAATTCGATGTGGACTAGTAGGGCTGATTGAGAAAGAAAGCGAGAAGGTTGTCATTATTTGGCCGTAATTAGGTAATACATACATATATATATATATATATATATATATATATATATATATATATATATATATATATATATATATATATATATATATATATATATATATATATATATCACATCAGTTCTAAGCAAATCTGATCCACACTCATTTTAATTTATTTATTATTTTCTTTTTTTATCTGATCTATACCAAGACAACAATTCGCTATCGCCACAACAATTGGCAAACAACCCATATGAGTCCCTACACTGCCGTCTCTAGTTCCCTCGCGCCGCCAAAGAAGGTAATGTGTCAGGCCGAAACAATCCACAGGTTACACTGGTCGGCTCAAAATATAGACCCAAATTTAATACAGACCCAGCGGCCGCTCGTCTGCTTCTGGGTCTACGATTATCTAACACGTAGACATTTCATAAATTCCTTTCATTCATTTTCTAACTTTTTTCCCTTACATATTTTCAGGTTATATGTATGTATATTCAAATATATTCATTCAAGGCCTGCGACCGTGCTCTGTCCTTGCTCGTCCGATTCGCCAGCAACAATGCCGCCGCCATTTCGCGTACCGCGTGACACTTTAAAAAACCCTTTTCGCATCCGTTTATTCCCATCCTTCTCCTGCTGCCATCTCTTACTCCCATTTCCAGCAACCATGGCCTGCTGCCGCAACGGCTGGCACTGTGACTTACCGGTACCGCAAGGTGGCGCTGGTGACTGGTTGGCGGGATAAATGTATGCCGGCGTTGCCAGAAACCGCGGCCGCTAATTAGCCGATGCAACACCAACGCAAAGGTGCGAATGACGCCATCCGGAATGCTACAACCTTTGCGCGCATCATCTCCGCAGTCGCGCGAATTCGGCAGCCGATCCTTCCGACGCGCCCAACGTAGGCCACACCCACTCTTCGCTCGCGCTCAGGAGCGCAAATCTTTTGCGTGGAAAACTCCCAGAGGCCGTCCTTGCAGGTCTTCCAGTTCATAAGCGTTGCTTCCCACGGCTCGGACCCACGCAACTTGTCGCTTCGTTTGACGCCTCCTCTTAAACTGCGTCCTCGCTTACACCACGCGGGTAGTGAGCATCCGCATTCCGGCGACCTTGTGCTGTTGAAACATCCCGTTTCGCCCCTCTAAGTACGCTCGCATCCGCTCCTCCATCGGCAAATCCCTAATCCTACCCTTATACCTAGGATTAATATTTTCTTCTCTCTGTTCTAGTTTCGACTTCCCGCTGATGGTGTGGGCGCAGCTGCCGAGCGCGCTTCGCCCATGGGTATCGCACTCCGCCGCCCCTTTCCCGTACAGCTCGGACACTGCGGACTATACGTGTCTGGTCGTCCGGTAACAAAATATACACCGCTCTCGCGCCATGCAATCGCGGAAACCATGCCCCGCTTGGCCACAATTCCAGCAATTTAGCTGCAGCTGTACACGTCTGGTGACTCGCGCATCTTCCACGGCTACGTCGTCTGCTGCATCAGGGCCTCCAAAATCTGCCTCCAACTCGTCTACGGGCCTGGTTCGCCCACTGGGACCAGCCCTAAAGACACTGCGGTATGCACGCGTTCCCTCCTGCCGCTCCATTGTTGCCTCCACTTCCACGCACTCGTCGCGAAGATGGTCCACGCTATACACACGAAGTGCGTAAACATACCGCGCCACTTCGACTTTCAGCCCCTTTTTAATTATTTTTACCATTTCAGACTCGCTTGGTGGTGATTGCAAACGAGATGCTAGCTTCCTCATGGCGTGGAAGAAGTCCTCGACGCTTTATGTGGCCTTCTGTCTCCTCTCGCGCAACTCTTGCATCCGCTGGAACTCATCGGCGGCGCCTCTAAACCGAGCGATCAGGATATGCTTCAATTCCTGCCAGCTATCGGCCCTGTGGTCACGCACATACTGCCAGTACCACTCCCTCGCGTTGCCGCCCACCAATAGATGAAAATTGTTCAATACTTCAGCCCAGGAACATCTGCACTGCCGCTGTAGAAACTCCACACGAAAAATAAAATCTTCCACAGCCATTTTATGCCTGTCGGCATCATTTTTCAACTCGACCCCAAGACGACCTTTCGTTGCCTTGCACGTATGGTGGGGGTGGATCTGCCTGCCGCGCATCATTGTGGCCCCGGAAATCTACGCGCCGCGGCCGCTGAGCGCTCCACGGATTTCGCCAGTCCCTCGCCGCCGCTTCGTTTCTGCCGTCAATGTTGGTCGACGTGTTGTCGCTTGGCCGCCGGTACTCTCGACTCGGGGCGTCGTGTATTTGGGCCCTGCTTGCGCTCTGCCTTGGCTCAGGCCTTTTCGGGACTGCTCCTCTGCTGCCATAATCAGACCCCTGCTGCTCGGCGCGCAATTCAGGTACGTAGTCCACGCCTGTTCTGACCGGTAGCAATGCCTCATTAACCGCTCTCAATAATTCCAGGAAGCCTTTCCGAATTTCTTCTTGCAACACCTGGCTTACTCCGTCCACCTGCGCATGCCGATAAGTTTGGTTTGCCTGTGCGATGGCAACATTTACTGTTGACGCCACTTCGCTATCAACGCGCCCTGGAGTGTCATCTCGTCACTCCTCCTCCCTCAGAGGCTGTCTGGGCGGCGTTCGCAGCAGGTTGCCCGGCCGTGCCGCCACAGCTTCCGAGCCTTCATCAAGCTCTATCAGCCCACCCTCTCGAGCTGCCTGCGCCCTCGTATTATACGAGCGCTCTTCGCGATGCGAATCCTGCTCCATTTTATGCTATTTATTATCTGTATACTTCCTATATTTATTTTTGGAATGACTTTATGTAATATAAGGATTCAATGAAAACAACGAAAATAGTACTTGTATATGCTGGTACACCACGACCAACGAAACCAATTATGCAAAAGAAAATATAAGTATATGCTGTATGTAATGTAAATGTTTAAATTAGAAAAATGTAACAATCAATCAAAATACAAAAATATAAATATACAACTGAAAATGACCAAATTTGCACTATACACCAAAATAAATATACGCTCAAACACCAAAATAAATATATCTGCACTCAACAAATAAACTCCCTACACAGCCACAATACAAATAAATGCTTTCTTCCTTGCGTTATATCTCAGCTTACAAAAAAAAAACAAACAACAAAATGTTGCATACCGCTACAAATTCTGCAATCAAATATGACACTCAAACAAAATCCAACGTTTTACTATTTCCATGAGGGGAGGAAATTCATCATTTATCCGATCGGAACCACCAGCTGCTCCTTTCTGCGCTTTACATAATTTCAGAATCATATTTTTTATATATCGCGAGATCTTTATCCACTGTTCCATTCATCCTCATCTGGATGGACGACAGTGAAGAGATCTGACCTTTCTAGATGCCTCTTTGGATACAAATTTATCCTAATCTGCCCTAAACATTATTATTATTATTATATATATATATACTATATATAGATATAGATATATATATATTAGATATATATATAGATATAGATATATAGATATATATATAAGATATATATATATATCTCTATATATATATATATCTATATATATATATATATATCTATATATATATATATATATATATATATATGTATATATATATAATTAAAAATTTTAAAATAGTGCAAAAATAAGATACTAGCTTTTTTATATCCCGTAACCGAATGGCATAATAGGTTCGTGGTCATATAATATGCACAGGAGAGTTAATCCCGCTCGTCGTTAGTAGGGATGTTAAAAAACATCGATGTATCGAGCATCGACGATGTTTTTACCATGATGCATCGATGTTTTCCGATGTTTTTTTTGCTAACGATGCATCGTCGATCCATCGATGTTTGTCCAGTACTATGACAGTCCCTCTTGATATATAAACATTTTTTATTTCAAGCATCTATGTTGATTAGCTCCCTAATAATAGCTTTTTTCCTATGGAAAGCTAATTTTTTAAAACATCGATGTTTTCTTGCGATGCATCGACAACGCATAGATTTTTTATAAAGAGACATCGATGTACATCAACATCGATGTTTTCCCTTCGACTTACATCCCTAGTTAGCCTTCATCTTTAGTTTTATCACTAACCATACAACATATAGATGCGTCATTTCATACAACGAAAACGTCCCATCAAAATTGTTAGCGACAGCTCCCATAGCTGTTCGGGTATTTGCCGAATGGGAGCTGTCGCACTTCGGCTATGAGCCGACTGGGAGCTGTCGAGCGAATTTCATTTCATTCGCAGAGAGGCAGTCAACAGAGACGGTCGGTTCACGCCGCTTATGCTCTTTGTATGTGTGCGTGCACATATATACATGTATATGTTTATATGTATTTGTGCATTTGGTCTTTTGCTGTTTGCGAGCAGCAGCTTCAATTTCGTTTTCAGATTTTACCTGCTACATGGGCATGAGAATTTCATACACTGCTGCCATATTTCTGTCGCATTGTATTTTGGGATGCGTATGCAAGTGAAGTTTGTCAATAGTGTATGGGTTTCTCGTAATGCCTATAAAAGCACACATACATACAATTACATACATATGTATGTGTGCAAATGTTGTGTTCATATGCAGACACTTCATATATGAACGCGTGGCAGTAGCCTTGACATTGTCATGACCTGGCTCAACTTATATTTATGCACAAGCAATTTTGTTGATAGACTATTTCTTATTTTTGTTTGACTTGCATATTAATTACAAAATATTTGGTAAAAATGTCAGTTGGCATTTAAATCAAATTAATTCAAAAATATTAGTTTAAAAA